CTAGCAACAACCGAACCACTTCCAAGTGGTTTGAGGAAGCTGCAGCCGTCAAGGGGGTGATCCCATGTGCCATTGCAGCATTGTTGTCAGCTCCAGCCTCTAGCAACAACCAAACCATGTCCAAGCAGCCTCTGAGAGCTGCATGTGTCAAGGCGGTGTTCCCATCTGCCATTGCAGCATTCGTGTCAGCTCCAGCCTCTAGCAATAACCGCGCCATGTCCAAGCGGTCTGAGGAAGCTGCAGCCATCAAGGCGGTGATCCCATCTACCATTGCAGCATTCTTGTCAGCTCCAGCCTCTAGCAATAACCGCACCACTTCCAAATGGCCACGGATGGTTGCAAGAATCAAGGCGGTTTTCCCATCTGCCGGTGCAGCATTGATGTCAGCTCCAGCCTCTAGCAACAACTGCACCACTTCCAATTGGTTTGCGGAAGCTGCAGCCATCAAGGCGGTGATCCCATCTGCCCTTGCAGCATTGATGTCAGCTCCAGCCTCTAGCAACAACTGAACCATGTCTAAGCGGCCACAGATAGCTGCAGCCATCAAGGCGGTGATCCCATCTGCCCTTGCAGCATTCTCGTCAGCTCCAGCCTCTAGCAACAACCGCGCCACTTCCAAATGACCATTCTCAGCTGCATGATGCATAGGTGGACGGTCAGTGTCTGCACCTGTCCAAATTGGGATCCAATGGCTTCTGAAGCAAACTTGCAACTTCAACAACTCGATTGCTCCCACACGCAGAGAGTAGTGCCTGCCAAACAGCCTCCTCAGGCGCACAGTAGTCCAAGACTACCAACTGCAAACTTGGTGGTAGTTGTCCGACAGGCATATCATCCTGCAGCTCGCCCATCTCTTCAGCCAAGAGCCGTTGTCGAAATCTTGAGGTTCCTCCAAGGCACCGGACGCTCAGGAGATTCTTCAGATCCCTGACAGATTGTCCAAACAACACCATACTGCCCAGTTCCTCTTCATAAAGCTGGGCGACAATGGCACCTGAAAGCGCTCGAATTTCCATTGTGAAACAGAATAGAGTGCCTAGAGGAAATGGCTCTCGGGCCAAAATGCTTGGTAGGTCCAAACACGGCTCATTATAATAGTTAACCATCTAATTGAAACCACGGCAGAGACCACAAGAGCCACTGTCTGTCCGTCTGGCTGCCTGCCTGTCTGCTTCTGTTTCTCGTCTTACCGTCTGTCGTCATGAAACCACCGCATGGCACGGAGACACCACACGACGACGTGGGTTGCCCCCCGCGGACGGCTCGCGGCCGACGGCTCGCTTCAGCCCAGGGGCGTGATCACCAGAGCGGGCAACCTGAGGCGTGTTCCGCGGCGGGGACCGACCACATGGGGTTCGTCGGGGTTCGGGTTCGCCATGTCTGTGGAAGGACCATGGTGGGAAGGCTGTGGAAAGACCCTCCGCCATGTGAGGCATGAAACGAGCCGAATACAGCACCTTTGTGTGCTTTCTTTTATAAGAAGAATTTGACAAAGAAAGGTCCCACTGCTTGACTGCTTGATGCCCAACTCTAAACCTGCTTGCAACCGCTTGCGGCGGGAAAGCCCCCCGCGCCCGCGACCCCACTCACATCCCAGGCAGCCGAAGCCGAACTCCCAACGACGCATCGCGCTCTGAGTGTCTGGACCCACCATCCAAGCGGGGGCATCCAGCCCCTAGGGTGCCACTGGACACCCGCAAGACCACCGCCTGCTGCCACGGTAGACGTCTAGGCCGACCGGACCGGAATCGAGTCATCTCGAAGGGTTCTGAGAAAATTCACAGACCTCCAGTCAAATAATTGTGGACATGAGAGTATCATAGGGTACTTGAGCCAACACTAAATGGTTCTCTTTGGACTCTGCATCTGCCACTCGAATTCGGGTGGTTTTGCACTGGTTCCAACGTGCAGTTCCAGACATCTGCATGTAGGTCATGTCCTGTCGTGAACATACGCATGAGATCGGGTGACGCATCTCGGCGCTTGTGACTGATTTCAATAGCAGAACCTGACTCTACAGGTCTCCTCTGGAGGCTTTTGAAGACTTCAAAAGTGCCAGCTGGTGACCCAGCTTGAGTCGGGTGCTGCTATACAACAAGTTAGGTCCATGCTCTTGACCCGAATCGGAGACCGTCAGATCACCGTCTCTCCCCGCCGCTAAAGAACCACGGGTCCGGTCTCTCGAACCGATTCCCGAAACCACCTTGCGGGTGGCCGTGAGGCCGCTCTGCACACGCTGAAGTGCTTGGACGAAAAGCGGCTCCTGTGCTTTGTTTGGTCCAAAGAAAACATGACCGGAACAAACAACGGAAGTTCTTCACAAACCAGGAGTCCCACACTGAATCAAAGTACCGTGATTTTTGCTTCCGCAAGCTTGATGCAACTGCCTGACAAAGGTGGTTCGTGCAAGTGCGGTTCCTGCAAGTCCCTTTGAAGGCCTTTCCCTTCCCTTTCCTTCCCTTCCCTTCCCTTCCCTCCCTCCCTTCCTTCCTTCCTTCCTTCCTTCACTCCTTTCTTTCACACAAACCATATTCTGTTCTTCGGCGGAATTCCATCGGAATTCTTCTTCTTCTCCAGCTGGTTCAGCTGTTTCACCACTCTTTTGGTTCATAAGAATGTGTCTTCAATCGATTCTGGTCAAAGACTGGACCTCCAATGAGAGCCCAGACCTTTCGCAAACATGGCCGAGATCCTGCACTGCCATGTCTCCGAAACAACGGCCGTAAGCCTCCCGGGCTGTGATCCCAGGGGGCCCAGTGAGCGCCGAACACCACTTTGGGGGCCCGCCGGATCTACTCCTCCGGGCTCGAAAAAGGTGGCAGAGTCGCGCGACCACGCATGGAGTTGTGCGACCACCCTCCCCGCGTGAAAGACCTCCACCAGATGTTCAGAACATCCAGATGTTCAGGTTCACCGCTGGGCTCGACTTGAGTCCCAAGAAGAACCAGCAGCCGAAGCAAGAAGAACCGGTCAGGGTCACGTCCGGCACCGGCGAGTCCTTGGTCTGCGACCTAGGACGAGGAGAGAGGGAGGTCTCTGAAGAGACCGGGGTGGTCCAAGAGATGTTTTACAAAAAGAACGCATAACGGCATGGTGTTTTTTCCTCAAAACCGCGAAAAAAACAAACCATCATAAACATGACATTGAAGAACCATACCCAACCTATAAAAATGTCTAGAATCAACATAGGTTTCGATTCATATGAACAATTAATCAAATGTTTCTTCAGTAGTAAAACGAGTATTTAAAAGAAATAAAGAAATAAATATTACATTCTGAAGATCAATGGACCCCAGGTCAAGAAAACCCCGGTGAAGGTAATATAAGCCAGTCCCATAGAGTACACTGTTACACTCCTATAATAATACCCGTTTCACACTGAAATCCCGAGGGGTTAACAAACTACCAGGGTAGGAGCAAACATCATTGGTGTTTCTCGATGTCTAGTGCCCAAAGAAAATGGTCTGCAGTCCGCCTGGTCATTTTGGTGCCCAGCAGTTTCCTTCTGGCCCAACCTAGAACAAGGACGCGAACCGAACGGGGCTCCTGTGGACCTTCAAAGGGCTCAATCGAGATACACAAAACCTGTGTGCAATCTATTGGAGACCGGGTGATGGAAGGAAGGTGCTGAACAACGTTGAATGTCTGGTCATGGGTCTCATCCTCCAAGTCAAACATCCGAGATAGCCTCCAGCCGTTCGAGTCGCGTCCTTTCTCGCTCCGGTTGCTCGAGTCGCGATGCCCTTGGTTCCTAGAGTAGCGAACCTTAGTTCCTAGTAGTAAGGGCCAGGAGCCCCGTTCGGCTCGCGTCCGGCCTCCAATCACCTCCTGAGACCTCCTGGGTCCACCCCTCCACCGGGCTCGTGTTCGGGCCCCGGGCAGCTCGGAATGGGGTCCCAACCACCAGGGCCTCCCAACCACCGCGGACGGTGGTGTCACCGTGTGGCCCGGTGCCACGAAGGCCGTGGCAGCTGGGTCGGTGAGGGGGCTGCGCTTCGCTTGGTGGCTGTTGTTGGTCTGATGATCGTTTGAAAGTCCCAACAGCGAAGACAGGCCCCAACAAGGAAGACAGGCCCCAACAGCGAACGAACGACTACATTTGTGTTCGTTGCTGTTGCACTGTTGCAAATATCTTCGTGACTCGGATGAACACGGCTCAAACACTCCAAGAATGGACCTTCCAGGATGCGAGGCTCTGTCCACCCAAATCCAGAGGCTCTGTTTCACCTGCGTTTCGTTCCCACGCCCGTGGCGTCCGATCGCTCCGGACGTCGTCCTCTTCGCGATGCCCCGATGCCGGTTCCGTTCGAGTCGTAAGGCCAGGGTCGCCCCTTTTCAAGGGATCTTCCGATCGCTCCTGCCACGCCAATCTGCTCTCTCCGAGTTCTTGGCCTGGAAGAGGCCTGCAGTTGGTTCTCGAACTCTTCCCAGCCTGAGGGATGCGACTGCGCTTCAGCTGAGTTCCAGCTGAGTGGAGCAGTCAAGACCAAAGCTGAATGGAAAGGATGGGACAAACCCTAGCTAAGAGTCCAGGAACATGTCATGAACTACCCCATGTGGTACCTGACTCAAGAGTTTTTTCTTCACAGCCCCTTTTCCGAATGATCGTATCCACAAAAAGAAAAAAACGGCTTCCAGTTCAGGTCGCTCAAAGGCCATGTGACTACCCATGTGGTACTTAGAGACTTAGAGAGCTTGTTCTTCGCCTTTTTTCCTAATGACTCTCCAAGACCTCTGTTGATCGGGTGCAACCTCTCTCGCCGTCGCTTCTTCGGCTCCGGCTCATCACGTCGCCCGGCTCCGCGGCGGCCATTTGCATCCGCGGATCCTGGCTGATGCGGCGGCGAACCACCAGAGCGGCGCCCACACCGGTGTCGGGGTCCCCAAGACACCACCGCCATCTGGGACTGCGGACTAGTTTCACGGCCAGGGGTGCCAGGGGGGTCTGTCAGTCTGGGCCGGCAGTCCTATGGCAGTCCCAGACAGGTCGTGTCTGGGCAAACACAACCCAAAATTGGCCAGGCGGAGGCGAACCAGCTTCTTCAGTCCGTGAAATTACTCTTCCTCTACTACCGCATTGGCTGTGCATTGGCTGTACACCAAAACCACTTAGTATTCCCTTCCATTCCCTTCCAATCAACCAACCCACCTGGATCTTCCAATGTCTGCCTGTTGACTGGTTTTACAGATCAAACAAGCACACATGTTATCCAGCTATATGCAGAGTCATGGCGGCCCCGTTGGATGTCCAAACGGAAACGCCCCCTTGGACGCCCCTTGGACGACCACACTACCACCCCCATCAATATCCATGAATCACCACTGGCTTCACCGAAACCACCCCTTCTAATCCACACATCCACGACTATTTTGGGGGACACATCACGGAAGGTATGATATGTTGGATGGTCTATCAACTAAACCCTAGACTTCCAACGACGATGAAATTCATAGGCTGAATCCCGAACCAACTGTTGGGATTCAACCACCACAAAAAAACAGTTCATGTCCATTTGTTTCATGGTCAAACGGATGTCTAGAGTTTAGATATAGACCATCCAACATATATCACACAAAGCCTCTTAAATTAATAGGCTATATAACTAAACGATGGTTACCAGCCTATGGTTACCATGGTGCCTATGAATGATGGTCTTACCATCCCAACATCTGGTGGTTGGAGAACGCTGGGCCTCCACACACCCCACGTCGACGGTCCTGCGGCGTGGCGCTGTCCATCTCACGGCGGCTGTTGCTCCGCTGCGCGGACCTGGAGGACGTGGGGAGGACGTGGAGGGGAGGTAGGACCAGGTAGGAGGTACAGTAGGACGTGATGGGGTGGGGTGGAGTCACAGTGAGGTGGTTGTTCTGTGTTGATAGGATGTTGATCCTCAAATGTGGAGGGTGCCCGCGTTCCATGGAGGTGAAAAAAGGCTCGCTTTGGATGGGCCCTTTTGGGGGCCTTGGGGGGTGGGAAAAAAACAACAACCATGTTTCAGCCACCGAGAGGGGATAGAGGAGTGACGACAAGGCCTTTCAGGTGAGTCTTCCCCACCACCAGGGCCATCTGCAAACGCCAGGATCCACCATCTGTGGTGAATGAACCTGTCACTAGTTACCTAGCACTTCCAATGGGTGCCCTGTCTGGAGACCTATAAGTGGGGTAGGGTAGAGTCTATTGGACACCCAGACAGGATGATCCTGGTACATGAATCTCCAAACATGAAAACATCGGGGGACACTGGCAGCCAGGAGCTTCTGTGGGGAAGCAAAAGAGCTGCTCTACAAAAGGCTTTGGCCATGCCACTATTCAGTGGATGCTGCCCTCCACCAAAATGGAACGTTCCGAGGGCCCTAATCTCCAACATCTGATTTTATCCCTCGCCTTGCACACAACAAGCCCCCTGCCACAAGTTCGAGCAACAAACATATGGTGAAGAAGAAACAAACCTTTACACCTAGAATACATAGGTCGAACCCATAGGGAATAGAATACATAGGTTGCACCTATAGCATCAAAAAATAGAATACATAGGTCTCGACACTCCGAGAATTACCCCACTTCTTCTGGGAATGGTCCTCGAGTCTTCTGCTAGGTCTAGGCGCTTCTTTTCTCTGCACCAGACTTGTGGATCGGATTCGCAAGGTTGATCCAAGAAAAACTGGGATATAGCTACTTTATATACCAATCCATCGTTCATCATGAGAACATGGTGCAATGACTTCCAGAAGACTTATGTCTGCACCCAGGAGACCCCCCAAAAAGTGGAGTTGAGATCTTCCAACAGGTGCTGTGATTGGCACACCCAAATTGGCCCATTCTTCTTCACAAATTTCTTCCATCTCCCCCCCACCCACCGTTGCACCGATCTCAGGCGCCGAAGAAGGCCCAGGCCCTCCCCGCCCCTCCGTCGCTCCATCGCCTTGAGTGCGGCACCATCTGAACTCCTCGCGGAAACCCATCGGGGCAGGCGAAGGCTTTCCGAAGCGATCGGGCCCAGGCAGGGCGTCGACGGGTGTCCTTTTTGGGGCGTCGGCATCGCTATAGGGAAGAAGAGAGGCGGACTCCATCAGACACGAGCCTTTTTGGACAGTTCAAAAGGAAAAGTCCATCGATATAGCTACAAGTCGTTGATGAATTCCAATGCATTTGATCTCTCAGCCCCTGGGATCATCCGACCGCTCAAGCACCAAAGGATCTCAGGATCCGTTGAAATGCATCTGGCCAAGCATCTCCTGTGGTTTTGACCCCCAGCCCACCCACTTCAATCACCGAGTTTCAGAGATACTCGGACCCTGGGAGTCAAAGGGGAGTCAAAGACTATAAAAAGAATGGTCTTTAGGGGACCTGAAAGGGAACTTCCTTTACTTCAGCCGGTCAAAGTATAGTGTTTGGACTTCTAGGGTGGAGAAGAACACCACACACCCCATCACGGGTCCCATCTCATCCGCATGCTGCGGCTCCCAGGCTCCGTTTGCAGCGGGGGGGGGGGTCTCGAGGGACAGCAGTTGTCGAGTCTGTCTGTCTGTCGTCACTGACGCGGCACTTATGCGGTTCTTTCCAGATGCTGTTGTCTGGACATCTACCAGTTTACACCGAGTTCGCTATAGATTTACTCGCTCACATCTAATGACTTTAAACCAGAATCCCTTCGCAGCTGGTTAGTTGAGACCTGTTTTCATCGTGTTTTCTCGATGTGACCCTCTTTCCCTGACCCTGACCCTCGGCTCATGTCGCCCACGACCCTCCCGACCCCCCTCGCCTGGCGGTGCCGTGTTCCCACTTGGAGACACCTGGGAAGTCCGGATCCCGGATCCGGATCCGGCGCTTTGGGGTGGTTGTTCCAGCTGCCATGGCTCGGCTGCTCGAGCTCTCGATGTTTAGGCGATGTTTGGGGGGAGCAATTCCAAGTCCTGAGAAGAAAGGTGTATAGTTCTTTGAATGTCCTCATCCTTGTGAAAGACAAGCAGAGTCGCTGACGGAGAACGTGCCCAACAGCGGCTGTCTATGTCAGGACGTCGGATTGTCTTTGCTAGATTCTAGAGAAAGAGATTCAAGAGATAGACACTATACCAGGACCCACAAGGGGTGGTCAATGGACACCCCTTAACCTCTAAGGAGCTATTAATTAATAGAAAAAACACCTTAGGGTGTCCTGGTATAGAAGTCCAAAAAGACTATACTTGTCCGTAGTGAAGCAAAGGAAATTCCCTTTCAGGCACCCTAAAGACCATGCAGAAATCTCTACTTTTTCGAATCTTTTCCATATCCTTGTTCAAAAGCCGGACACCATACTTTCAGGGGCCTCAGTCCCCTCAAAAGGGTCAGAGCTTTACACCCGACCTCTGCTTCTGGATGAAGGTTTCTAACCAATTTCGATCCTAATTAATATACCCATCACAGAAACGTTCATTAAGGTGAGTGTTCACCATCATATGTCTTTTCAAACCAGGTCTTTTCTTGAACTTCCGGGACTTCTCCCCAACAGAAGACCTGCGCGCACATCCAATTCTTCCTCACGGCGCACATCCAACTCTTCGACCAGCGGACTCTTCCGCGCAGACGTGCGCGTGCGCGTGCGCGGCGGGCGGGCGCAGACGGGCGCCTTTTGCAACAAGTCGTCCTCCCCCAACGAGGTAGCGGCCTGGCGCTACGGCTGCGAGGTCGACACCGAGCTCCGGCTACTCCATGTCTTACAAAAGGCTGGCGTGTTTTCGCTGCGGTTGAGGTGTCCAGCGTTGATGCGGTGACCATCGATCGTAATTGAAGGGAGAATCACCCAACTTCCACCTCGACATATCTTGACTGCCCCACCCCCTCTCACCGCCCCACCCAGTGCACCAAAATCACACCGCCACACCCAAAAGTATATCAATTCCTCACCCCCCAACATATCCCATCCCCTCTTCACCCCTCTTCACCCAACCCTTTCGGTCTTTTTTGGTGCTCAGACCATGTCCACGACTCCCGTCAACCGTCACGCCTGCCGCAACGACGGTCTCGCCGTCGCGTCCGAGACCGAGACCGCCGGCGGTCTCGCCTCCCACGCCACCTGGCCGGTGCGGTCGTGGCCTTGTTTTGGGGAAGAAACGACGTGAACAAAGGAGGCTGAACCAAGGCTATACCTGGGGATCTTCCGATGGTCAGATGTCCAAAGTCTGACTGGGGTCTTTTCTATCAGGTCGACTGGTCAAACAGACAGCAGGTGGGGGAAATTCTTTGCGGGGAGATTAATCCGCACCTGTGTGGATTCGTCCGGTTCCATTGGTGGTTCTATCCGGGTCATCTGACCTGGGATCCTCCAACTCTTCGCAAACATGGTAGAGACGGAGACGATCGATCTCAGGGCTGAGGATCGGATCTCGGTGGCTTTTTTTGGACACCCCCTTCCTCACCTCGTAAAACGAGGCTATTCATAGACACCTCGAACGGAAGGATCCTGGTATATGACATATTCATATTATTCCCCAAACAGTTTACTGTTAGGGGTTCTCAATGCTTTAAAGAATGGTCGCCTTGGTGCTGGATGGTCTGGTCGGGTTCCCGGCCGGCTTGTCTCCCACTTCCTTTTATTTGTCTCCCAGTTCTTTTCATTTGTCTCCCAAGCTCGGTGCTTGTGGTCGGGTTCGTGGCTGGCTTGTCTCCCACTTCCTTTCATTTGTCTCCCACTTCTTTTCATTTGTCTCCCAGTTCTTTTCATTTGTCTCCCAGGCTGGGTGCTTGTGGTCGGGTTCCCGGCTGGCTTGTCTCCCACTTCCTTTCATTTGTCTCCCACTTCTTTTCATTTGTCTTCCAGTTCTTTTCATTGTCTCCCAGGCTGGGTGCTTGTGGTCGGGTTCCGGGCCGGCTTGTCTCCCACTTCCTTTCATTTGTCTCCCACTTCTTTTCATTTGTCTCCCAGGCTGGGTGCTTGTGGTCGGGTTCCCGGCCAGCTTGTCTCCCACTTCCTTTCATTTGTCTCCCACTTCTTTTCTGCTTGTGGTCGGGTTCCCGGCCGGCTTGTCTCCCACTTCCTCTTATTTGTTTCCCACTTCTTTTCATTTGTCACCCACTTCTTTTCATTTGTCTCCCAGGCTGGGTGCTTGTGGTCGGGTTCCCGGCCCGCTTGTCTCCCACTTGCTTTCATTTGTCTCCCGGTTCTTTTCATTTATCTCCCAGAAATGCTTCATTTGTCTCCCAGGTCCGTCACTGCTGGTGCCATGTAGCATTTCTATTCATTTGTCTTTGTCACTGCTAATTTCAGTCCTTTTCCGCTGGCCACGCAGCATTTCTATTCATTTGTCCCCCAGGCTTGTCACTGGTGGTGTCCGCCCTTTTCCGCTGTTTCTATTCATTTGTCTCCCAGGTCTGTCACTGTTGGTGTCCGCCCTTTTCCGTTGGCCATGTAGCATTTCTATTCATTTGTCTCCCAGGTCTGTCACTGCCAGTGTTTTGTCTCCCAGGTCTGTCACTGCTGGTGTCCGCCCTTTTCGTCGGCCATGCAGCATTTCTATTCATTAGTCTCCCAGGTCTGTCACTGTTGGTATCCGCCCTTTTCCGCTGGGCATGCAGCATTTCTATTAATTTGTTTCCCGGGTCTGTCACTGGTGCTGCCGCCCTTTTCCGCTGGCCATGTAGCATTTCTATTCATTTGTCTCCCATGTGATTTCTTTCTTTTTGTCTTTCAGGTTTGGTGCCTGCACTGCTGTTTTCTGCCCTGTCCGCTGGAACAGGTTCGCCTGTGAACCTGCCACACTGTGTAACTCTCTCAGCTTTGTTTTCCTTCTCGGGCAACCGTTGGATGAATGACCGGATTGGATTTCGGCGGCGTGGCAGCGATCTCTCTTTCAGTTGGGGCGGAGGGCATATGTCAGGCACCAAAAATCAATTTCATGTCACATCCTTCGCTCCTCATGCTTTTGTTTCTTGTCCTCACGTGGTCAGCTCCCCGCTGACTGAGCAGCATGACCAGCATCATGTTCGCGCTTGAAGAATAATTCCCCAAAAGGTTTACTGTTAGGGCTTCTCACTTCTTTCTTAAGATGTGTCCCCCCGCTCTGTACTGCTGTGTCCGTCTCTGCCTTGCAATCCTTTACATTTATCTCCCAGCTCTGGACGTCGCAAGCTCTAGTTTCGATTTTGAAAAACACAAACTGTTTGGGGTCTACGGTGGTGTAATGCATGAAGGATCCTGGACTGTTCCTGGTCTTCCGGGTGGTTTGTCTCCCTTCAAAAAAGTGAACTTCGCTTCACGTGCCTTTGTCCTTTGTTTCGGGCCAGTTGCAACCGTGAATTTCCCAGCATTGCATCATATCGGACGTTCATGCCACGAGACCCATGACCTTCACAGTGAAACCAAGAAGCCTTTCGGCCACAGCACCGCGGCCCGACCCCAGACTTCGGCGAAGAGTCAGGGCCACAGAGACAGAGACTTCGCCCCACCTTCTCCGTTTTCAGGTGCCGCTTCACCGTGAACAACTGCAACACCTAGCGAGCCACGGGTGTAGGTGGGCAGCTGGCTTGCAGGAGCAGAGACGAAGTCAATTGGAGGAAAAAGGGATGGAACATCACTGACGTCGTTCGAAGCCATGAAGAGGAACACATCCATTGACCTCCAACTTGATCACCAAAACCAATCCAAGACTCGAAACATTGGGAGAAGCTCCATCACTGCCATCCCTCCTCGCTCTATCACTGGCCGTCGAAACATCGATCCCCTGGGTGGTGCCGGCGTTTTTCAGTCTGAGAGTGTCGATCCTCTGACAAACCAACAACGTAAGGGTGATGGTATACGGGTGTAATTGAATAGAGAGAACCCCAACCAATGGGTTTCGGTGTGAGTTTATGTCAATTCTTTATCATTCTAGGTTTCTTCTGGAGAGAGAGTTATACCTTGGGTCGATCCCAATCTGCCAGGGCCGAGTGGATGATGGTTCAGTTGCAGGCCTTCCCATCTCACAAATAGTGATGATTGGAGGTAGTGACACAGGTCAGAACGGACCCAGTCAAGGTTGGCTCAACAGTCGACCTGATCATGTTGAGCCAATGGAGGCTCCACCGAACTGTCCAGTGGATCCAGGACGGAAAACGCACAACGACCACCGAACACGCCACGTCGTTTTCAGATCCGAGCGAAACCCGCTGGTTCCCGGTCCAGCGGTCAGTGGGAGCCACATGGGGATCTCGGATCGGATCGAGTCATGTGATGTTGACTCGATGGAACGGTTGTATTTCATCATCATGCCATGTCCCGAACTCGTGGCTCCAGTGGTAAACATATATGGAGCTCTGCCACACAACATGTTCTAAGTGGAATGAACGCGCGCCTTTGAGCACGTTGGAATGGGATCTTGGTCTTCTAGTGGTGTGAAGCACAAACCAGTCCACCTAAACATATCTATGAGACGAGATGGGAGGCCCAGTGGCAGCGGAGTGGCAGCGGATGGGAGGGCAATCGAACTGAACTGAACTTGAAAAAGCGGAAGGCAATCCCTGTAAAACCCATATCACACCCAAACAGAGTCAGACTGCTCAGACTGCCGGTGCCTAGAAACCCCACCCAAGCACTCTGCCGTGGCCTCTGCCTCCTCTTGAGCACTGCCTGAGCTCTTTCTCCGGCGGTAAAGCAACGTCCCGGTGGGGCGGAGCGCGGAGAGCTTCGATGAGACCGTGGAAATCCCAAACAGAGTAAATCCAAAGGGCCATACTTGGAAAGCTGTGCATTTCCCCGGTGTCACCCATAAGAAACCCTTAAGAAACCCCAAAAGACTTATACTAATTACAGATTACAGTGGTTTCACAGGCTCGATGTCTCAACCACCCAACTTGAGGATTGTGCCATCTACCTAGCGCTTCCTGTCGGGATGCCCTGTCTGTAGACCTGTTTACGTGGATGATATCCAGCCAGGTGACCGCTGGTATATACTCTGAAACCTAGTGTAGTGTATACCATTCACCACCTGTCAGGGAACGAAAAATGGTCACCACCAGGGGGGCCCGTGGTCCACTTCAGTCATTTCTTTAAGATCTTTAAGGGCCCTGTAGATCCTACGACGGAGCTGTTTGACGAGTCCCCATCACTGGACTTGCGTAGACAGGGCCGATCAGGGTCCCTCGACTTCTTCTCAAAGAGCTTCAGATCCACCTGTAGGGTCTTACACTGGATAGACCAGCAAATGATCAGGTAGACTCTATCACGTTGATCATGGTATATCCAGCAATTCCCCAAAGCATGCAGCCTATCCAACCAACCTCGGACCGCCTGTGCACGTGCTATCTGCGCTGGACCGCTGGCTCTCACCAAGGGCCGGGCCCAAGGAGCTTTGCTTGTAGATCGTGGCAGGCAAATCATCCATCACCTGACCAGACGCTCCGTTCACAGCCCTTGGTCCCTCCAAACCTAGGAGGCTACGGCCCAGGGTCGCGTCTTCATCTTCTCTGCACGCTCCGTCTGCACCCAGGGACGCTACGTAGCTCAGTCGCCGAGAACCAACAGACCAGTCACGACCCCGCTCGACGCTGTCGGGCTGTCGATCCGCCCGTCGGTCCACCCAGGTGGTGCAAAGGATTGGGTGGCCATGATCTTTCTTCGGCTTGGGGAATAGCAAAGCAAAGCCGGAATGATGGACCATGAATATGGGATTAGCCCCAAGTTGCAGCAAACACCTTTGGATGAGTACGTGGCAAAGACTTTGAATGCATCATAGCTTATAACTGCAATGCCCCTACACCCCCTGATTACACAGGACAATGAGTGATATCATTCCTCCATCCGGTCGAATGAGATTCTTTACGTCTTCCCAGGCAGGGGAAGACGTAGTGGGCAGGGCCAGGGTAGGGCTCTGTCAGCCTGGTAGCCTCACATGATTTCAATGAAAACCTACCTAACATGATTCCAGTTCCATGCAATTATTGTTTCTGCTTTTAGAACAATCCGTAGGCAGTAAAAAAGGACAGACTGACAACCAGCTGTAGATGTATGTAGTAGATGCCTATCTTACCACCAGCACAAATGTTTCGTGGGAATACCGCTGCTCAGATACCACCTCACTGCCTCAGTGGCTGGGAATAAAAGTACGAAACACCAAGCAGCTCTTCGCGCACCCTGCGGGGAAGCTCGCTGTGCGGCGAAGCGCTGGGCGTGCGAAGCGGGCGAAGCGCCTCTTTCACCAAGGCCTTGATGATCTCTGGGGCACTGGTGCCTCGGCGAAGAAAGAGCCGGCGCGATGTGTGACAGGTGCAGAAGATGATGCGGAGGGTGGTGGGAGGCTTTGGGGGAGGTGGGGCGGAGGTGCTGGCAACTCAGATGAAGGACAATTCAGGATATAGTAAGAGATTTACAACAAACCCCAGAAATCCGCACAAATTGGAAATTGAACGGGAGTACTACATTATTCATTGTGATTGTCTGTTCGTTCTTGTCGTTTGCATGCGGAGACAAAAGAGTCGAGTTTGTGGTCCACACACTGCAGGAATGCCAAACCATCAACTCAGGATCTCGATATAAAAGAAAATGCAATCGGAAAGTCGGGAATATGATGTTCCAAACGCATTGATTTGAGACAGGCTCTATTGACAATGTGCTGCAAGAATGTTTGAACAGTTGACACCAAAGCTAATACCACCAAAGCGTGCATCACACGGATCAGCAATCAGCAAGAAGGCCATGCTTCTGAGCCAAATCTCCTAAGCCTTTCGCCAAGTCTTCCACCACATCTGCATCCAAGGGGCCATACTTCTGAATGAAGGATTCCCAGGAATGCAGTGCCACGCGACTGACCATGGAGGATCCGTCTACACGAAAGGTCCGATCCGTCCGTGGGCCCCAATGGTGCGGCTGTTCTGAGGAGAAGAAGCACGTGGCATGACATATGGATCGTCACTTCACGGTGCATCCACAGAACAATCAAACACACACAGACACACGAAGCAGCAGTCACGTCGGGATGCCGGTTCCGAACGGAGGATAGGGGGGGCCCACGATCCACTCACTTAGGGACAAAAAACCACCCCAGCCTTTGTGACTGGGAACATCTGAGAACAAGGAGATTGGTCAGCCCTGACTTCGCTTGGCCTATCCTGAAGGTGATGAAGTCCCACGTAACGAGGTGATTGAAAAAACACTTTCGGTGATTCGTTGCCCACAGAGAGCCACACTCTGAGTTTGCCGCAGAAAATCCATGGAATTCCAAGAAGTTCAGCATTTTAGAACCAACAACTGGTGGAGGTGATGGGAGTGTCATCCAAACGAAACATTCATGGCTTGACTTTGACCCTGGACGCCAAGGGATTTTCCAGCAGGCCACGCACGCGAATGAACGGTGGCCCGTGGCCGAACACCGTCGCGATCGATCTGGGCCAAACACCCAGACCGCCCACAGTCCACTCCCGGCCTTTTGCATGGCTTCGCCAGGTGCTTGCGAAGATGTTGCAACAGATCGGCTGGACAACTGTTGCCACAGAAACACTCCTCGTGAAGCAAGCGCGCTCGCTGTCGCGCCGACTCCCGACACGCCCAAGCGTCGCCTGCTTCGCATCCCTTTTCCACCTTTTCCCCCCCCAAAAAAAAGGAACAGGAAAAGTTCTCTCGGCTGCGCACATGACTTCGACTTCGACTTCGACACATCGGGCTGTGGGTCAAAACAGGTCAAAACCCGGAGGTCCCAAACCACCGACATCGTTGACCTCCTTCGTCGTCCATTCTGTTCTTCCCATCGCTCCTCAACCGTTGACCCACTGCCATAGAGGCTTCCCAGGTCCGCATCAAAGAGTTGGAGACGGAGGGCGGTGCCATGTCCCACTTCTACCGTCCACCAACCTACCCCTCCGGGTGCGTCGCGTCGGAAGCGGCACCTGGAAGGCGTCCGCAAAGTCCCACCAGCCCACCTTGGCCTGGAGGGCTGCGGAGTAGAAGGAACGACGCTGAAGGAACCAGCGGCTGGGTGGCCATGTTTGGGAGGCGATGCTGCCACAACGTCTTGAGCGGTGGAGTGCAAGAGAACTGATGGAGAGAATACATGATGGCCCTGTCGATCAAGACATATCAAGACCAATGATTTTGGCTTCCACAACCGGACAAGGAACCCAACAATGGGACGAAAACCATGTACCGGATGTCCCCATGTCCCCATACAGTATGGGTTCTTACAGGCTTACTTTTCACACACTCTTGCAGGATGGGGAGCCAGACTAATGGAGCCAGCTTCCACCATGGTTGGCCAAAATGCCTTGACGTGCCTTGACCATTTGTGTTGCCCATTCTTGGATCCTCCAAGTCCCTTGGGCCAGACTGGTCTGGGCCAGACCCTCCGGCTAAAAAACCCAGCCAACGTTTAAGTGGTCAGGTTCCACCATGTTCCACCAGGTATTCAACCCCAAACTTGGAACACTCAGAGCTGAAAACAGGCCAATTTGCTTCAAAGATGTTCTCCCACAGTGAAGCTTCGGGCACGCCGCGAACACTCGGCCCACCGGGGTGCGCCACTGAAGTGCCGGGGTCCCCCAAAAGCAAGGTCCCCACCGCGGTCAGGATCGACAAGTGGGAGGGGGTCCCCAATTTGTCCCCACCCCGTTGAAAAGTCGCTGAGCTCCAAGCACTGGTTTGGAAATAGTGTGTCCAGAATTGCACTGCTTGCTGCCTTCCGGACGGCGACGGTCGCGGTTCCCCGCGACGCCCCGACGAGTGTTTCGGGCGACGGGGGTGTTCATAAAGAGCCCGCGGAGGGTGGAGGCTGCTAAGCAAGCAGTGCATGGGCAAAGGATTCTCCCTAGAAGTCCGGTTGCAGAAAAAGAACCGGAAGAGGGTGGACGCCTCTCAGTCTGCAAGAAGGTGAAGTCCAGTTCGACCACGTTTAGTACCGCCCAAGTTGAAGGAAAAGCCAGTCCGCTCGGGTCATCCAGTTCGACCCTTCTGAAACAAGGTCCTGGATGTCCAGGGTTCTGACATCACTGAAAGCATGTTCTCCACAAAGTCACAAAGGGTGGGCCCTAAAGACCTCCAGATTCCAAGCGTCCGGGACCCTCTGACGCGATACCCGCTCGGGATCAGTGGTTTCACAACAAGAACCTCAGAAAAACCAGCGTTTCAGGGCGCGAAGTCACCGTAGAAGCCCAGAAAGCGACCGAGTCCTCGGGACCCTGGGGGGTTCCGGACCCCGGTCCACGAGGTCCACAAGCGCCGGGGTGAACAAACATCTCCACCGGGGGAGAAGGTAAAAAAAAAAGGTATATGGGCGAACACGACCTATAGACCCCCTCCCACACCCCCATATACCTTCTAAACGAGAACCCTTCGCCTTTCGGAATTCGGGAAGGCCCACGTCGCACATGCATCGGGGAGGAGTTCCTTCGCCCCGATGATCACATCCACGAACAGACCCTTTCTGATCTCAAAACCCATCCGCTGACCACATGGGGAAACTCCAAGACCGGTGGAACGCCCAAGTGATGTGCAACTCTCCAAACGCTTCGAGCTGCCAAATGACCAGCCGAGGCCGAGTGGTGCCGAGTAGAAGAGCCGGGCGCAGTGACATCCACGCCACTCGCACTCGCACGTCTCCCCACCCGGGAGGGTCCAGGACCCCTATACCTCTCCGCCGCACGGAGGCGCCTGTGCAGCTCCGACTTGATGGCCTCCATGTTCACGCTGCCTCCGGACGGGGTGCGAGATGTGCCACCCCGGCAGTGGAGGGAGGTACCTGAAAAAGTACGATTCACGGTGGCGCAACTATGATCTAATCATATCTATATGTTATTCCACCACCCAAAGGAACTGTCGGCCAGATCTCCCACATTCCCATCGTTCAATTCGACCGGTTGAGGTGTTGGACGTTCAACGTTCGCCGTTCGACGTTCCACCCCCAATGAACCATCGAATGACTGACCGTCTGACTGGTGCGACTCGTAGGGAATGAGGGTGGCTGGACCCTAAGCAATCTCTTCCCTCATTCCCTACGAGTCGCACCAGTCAGTTGTTTTCTCATTTAAAGGGATGCAGAGTCTGCTGGTCCAGTTGCTGACCCTTCAATTGGTCAGCTGTTGCCACGCATGTGAAGTCACATTGAATGACCGGAAGTTGGCCCATTTAACGGAGGCTCCGTCGGGGTATAGAGGATGGTTTCCTCATATCTTCCTTCAAAGAGAGCTCACAGGCGGAAGAAACATGAACCAAAGTCAACCAGTGCCAGGCTTGTTGGAGGCCATCGCTTTTAGGTTGGAGGCCATTGCTAGTAGCTTGGAGAAGACCTATACGAAGTGGTCACTCCGAGTCGACTCAACCTGCACCGCGCGGACTGCGCGCGGACCGCGCGGACCGTGTGCTGCGCTGTGTGCTGCCCCGCCTTTGACTCCTTGCGCTGCTGTCTCGCACGCCTTCGCCGTGGCAGTTTGCACAGCACTGTGCCACTCCTCCAGAGCCTGCGGAGGGTGTTGTGAGTGATCTGTGGAAAGCATCGGCCTCCAGCCTAGAAGCGATGGCCTCCAACCTAGCGATGGCCTCCATCTGGAAAGCATCCTGTAGATGATATTTGGCTTGGTGGTTTCCGGAACCACTGGTTTCGCGTTCCGCTAAACTGATGACAAAAACAGACAAAAACTGTGCCATGTCAGTCAAGTATATAAGTAGATGATGATCTGATGGTCGGGACATGGTTCCCAAGAATCAACAAAGTACAAGTACAAGTCCTTGTCCTCCCTCCATGAGCTCAGCGTTGCTGGGTTTCTATGAGCATCAAACCCCAATTCCCATACCCCGGTTGGTTCCGATGCGAGTGACGCATCAGCTGACTGCTTGGTGTCCAGACTGGAACATCAGTCGGCATCAAAAAGTGGTACCTTCTGAGAAGGTACTTGGATCCGTAGGGTTTGAAGGAAACTGATGATGTCAGCTACCCAGTCCGTGGTGAAGCACGTGGTGAGGTCTTCCAGAGTAGCCTTTAAGAGCACATGTAACGAGCACTAAAAAAAGGTTCCTGCTCGGGCCATGGGACGGTTCATTCATGGCATCACCCTATTGTCGTGGTCAAGGCATTTCCATGGGTTTCATTCCTATACACTCCATGGGACTGGAATAAATATGCCGACATGGCAGTCCCAGACGGTTCGCATCTGGGATTGGTGTCATATGGTCCCAAAGGACCCTCCAAACACCTACATAACAGTGAATCCAATCACCGTACCTGAGAAGGACCCAAGTCATCGGCGATCTGGGCCACCATGAGACCACCCGATCGGAGCCGCAGTGTGCACTGTGAGTCTGAGAGTCATTAGAGTATCTTGGATATCTTGAATGGGGTTGAACCTCCATAAAACACCTACCTGGGAAACCAGTACCAAAAAAATGGCCAGCCATCTCCTATGCAAAGGACGTTTCAAGCTGGCACCATATTGAAACAACCAGAACTGCTTCTGCTTGGGCCTGGGTTTCCAGGCCCGAGCCATCACTTCTCTGACGTCCCGACCCTCAAGTCCGTCCGACCCTCTAGACCGTCCGGGTCACCGCGAACCGCCGCACCTGCCGATGGCGACGCTGCAGCAACGCTTCTCCCAAGCCCTGCGCCAACATTTGCTGAGCAGGTTGAGCCCAGGCACCTGGCACCGGGCTCCCTGACCCGGAACCGGCGTTCTTCAAGGCCACGGCACCGAAGACGGAAGACCGAAGACCGAAGAACGCGAGGCGACGTGACGGGCACGTGACGGGCATCGGAGGGGGCGACCTTCGGCACGTCCTGACCCTTTGGAAGTTGGTCCCAAGCGTAAGACGCCCCAAGTGTCGAAACCAGTGACCAAAGTGATGCTGTTGGTCCCAGTGACCAGATTCTATCTATATTAATAGTATAAGGACTTCCATTCCACTGGTCATTTGATGTTGTTGGGATTCCTTCCATCGATCGCCTCCTTGTCAGCCTGTGCTTGGTCCGCTTTCCGCTAAAAGGGAAAGCCATGACAAGCCATGATCAGCTCCAGCAACTGTCATCGGGTGGATCGTAGTCAAAAGTCTGGAGCATGGTTTTGCTGTTGATTTTAAGTCAGAAGGGCTTCTAAGTCGAACTGCTGGAAGCCCACCACTGTCCAAGAAGGCTTTTGAATGCCAGTAACTGCTGGCCAACTTCGTCTCTCTTCTAGTTATGGCACCTTCAAGTTGAAGCCCTCCAGTAGCAAAGTACTCTTTGATGTTGTTCCCTAACCTATCTCCTATGTGTCTATGTGTTTCTTTTTGGGTGAACATGTCTGGCAGCCAGAGCAGGCCACGGCCGCGTTTCGTGTCCTCCTGGTGTGCTCAGGTCTTTCTCTCCCGCCGTTGACGCTGCAGGTCACGCCTCCACCCTCTCCCACCGGTGCATCGCCGTCTCCCCGTGGCATCGGCACAGCGCACGGCGCTGCGCGTGGCGCGTGGCGCGCGTTGCGCGTCGCCTGTGAGGGAGAGGTTCGCCGCGAGGCTGCTGGGCGACACCTCCAGGACATCCATCAGTTGCCTCCGCGGCGCGGTCGACTCGGCGCGGTGGCGCTGGCGGTTGGCGGCGGCTCGGGAGTCTCGGGATTCGCGTCCGATCGGTGGACCGTAATCACCAAAGACTGGGATGGAAGGAGTATGAACCATCCGGGACCCTCAAAGCTTTGGCTCGGCTCCCAAAGCCCCAAAACCGATACCAAAGAGGTGAATGAAGCTCCGACCACCCGACGTCGAAAGGATGTGAAGACGTCGCCTTTCGACGGATCATCCAACCGTTGGGTCCATTCGTATCATTTCGTCGTTCTGGCCTCCCGGGGGTTGGGCAGGTGGAAATGATCTGGCGTTGGTCTTTAGGGTAATCATAAAGGCATGACTATGTTCTGGAGGGCTCCATTCCAGGTTGCCACTACTGAACATAGGACTTAGTACCGGAGGAAATTGAGATATCATCCTAAGGGGGGCCCATAAAGAGCTATTTTAGAGGTTCTGATTCTGACATCTATGTTATATACTCACTGTAAGTCCTTGGAAAAATCTCCTGCACGCTTCTCTGGCCAAGATCCTTCACGGTTTGTACTCACTCGCTCCAGTTCAATCTCAGCAAGAGTTACTCCATCTTCTATCCTAGACCCACTGAGTCCACCCAGATCACATGGCCACCGGGCCACCGGGTCCATACCGACGGCGAACCGGGCGAGGCCCCTCCTGGAAACCATTCGCAGCAATGCTCTGTCGCCCTTGACGTCCAAGAAAACGAAGTAGACGTAAAGTTCCTGGGAGAAGATGGAGAAAGAACGAAGAAATCACGCTAGAAGAGTGAGCTGCAACCTTGCTATATGATAAGATTACACCAGAATAGAAACGTGGAAAAAAATAGATGCAACCTACGTGAACCAAGTCCAGGAAAGACCATTATGTATAAAACGGTCTTTAGGTGATCCGAAAAAGGAATTTCCTTTACTTCAGCGGTGCCAAAAATTCGTCGAACTGGATTTCTAGGGTGAATCGACATATATTATACTTGGTTACTTCCACGGTTTCTCCGGCCAGGCGCCCCCGCCCAGATTTCGCTGCAGCGGCGCCGAAAGGCCTGAGGCCGCCGGTTGACGGCCGGTGTCAGAGAGCGGAGACGAGACGAGATCCGTTCCACCGTTCAATGGGTGGCGTTGGACTCATCAAGTGGTACACGTTGGGTCATTGAGTCATGTTGTTGGCCTATTTACATGGCATGGAAAACGTTGATATCGGCCCGAAGCGGGTGGAAACGGCGGGGAGGAGGGAATTTCTATGATTTGCGAAAGGCACTGGTCAGTTGGAGAAGCAAACACAGATGTGGCGTCAAATTTTCCCTATTGTAGAACACAAGCTAAGTTTTCCAGAACATGCCCTATCATCCGTGTTGTTTTGGGACTACCACTTCAGTCACTACAAATACAGCGGAGGAATGGAACTGGATGGAGCCTCTTCATTTGGCTTCGATGCATGGATATGAAACAAACCAAGCCCCAAAACGCACCAAAACAGGCTATGACAATGAAAACGCTATGCTTGGAGGTCCATGAGCTGTCTTGGGGCTATGTTGGGCTGTTGCGCTATGTTGAGTATGTTGGGCTGTCTTGGGGGCTATGCTGGGCTTGTTTCAAGGCTTATGCATCTCTTCTCTTCCTCTTCTCTTCCTCTTCCAAAGGTTCAGCAACTCAGAAGACCCAAACTTCAACACACTGAAACTTCATATCCAAGCAGGTGTCCATACCAAACTCCAAGACTGTCCTCGAATCTGATTCCGATTCCGATTCCGATCCAATACACCTATATTCATGAAGCAGTGCCAAAAAGCCTAGAAGCATTTAAAAGCAAAGAAAGAAAGCAGGACACAACGCAACACCCCTCTTTTTTCAAGCCAACATGATCATATCAAATCCTCCACCATTGGCAGGTTCGCTCCCCATCCGTCACCTCGATATCACTGCGCCACTGTGCCAGCAAGCCCTCCTGTGGCAAGAAGTAACGTCCGCAGAACGGGAAAGACCCCGCCAAGACCCATGTGCTGCACTGGGGTCTCAAGCACTCATGTGCGACCCCGTCGATGTGGTGCGTTGAAAGCGACCGGTTTGGCAGAAATGCCCCGCGGCGCATTCGGTGTTTTTCTTCGGTTTGGCCGCACCGACCGAAAAGGCGCCGAATGTGTCCTGTTTAGCTGGAGTCTTCTTCTTCTGCCCCAATGTTTGTTTTAGTTGGAACGTCCTAGCAAATCTGTTTCAACCTCCTCTGGTCCCTTTGTCCATCGCAAAATCAGATTCAAGTCGGATTCAAGTCATGCTTGCACCGAATCCCACCACGGGAGGCCCTCACGCCCCTGCCCTCACGAGCATCATTTGTGGAGGGAATCTGATGGTTTGGGGATGTGTTCTCCTTAGTGAGCCTTGACACATCTTGACCCACCCACTTCCCCTTTTCGTATTTAGTTACTTGTCGTCGTTTCCAGCGCGAACTTGCCAAGCTACCACCAAGGTACCAAACCGTTCCGGTGGTGCACTCTCGATCCGACGTGGTCCGCGCCTCCGTGAGAAGCGGTTCCTTTGATTGCAGCTCCTGTCACTTCCAACGACCGACACACGCGAGTGGGGGGGCGAGCCGCCATCGTGTGCGAGCTGTGCGATGTGCGAGCGAGCACATCAAACATCTGATAAGCGTTCGGCCAGCGTGAGTGACTGCGCGTTCGGCCAAACCGTTCCAAACGGATCCGGCATGATTCCTCCAGGTCCAGTGTGTCTCCCTTGGAAAATACACATCCCTGGAAGCCCAGTCCCAACCAAAAACAGTTCTGGTTCCCTAAGAATCCTTGGGAGAGCCCATGGCAGGGGTCGGACCCGACACCTTCGCAGGGGCTCAAAACCCATCAAAACCCTCTCTATTATAGCAGCACCGGATTCTTAGGGTTGTTCCAATATGGCGCCAGCTTGAACTCCTGGTCCATATGAAAGTGCCTCGGACCGGGTTTCGTTCCATCCAGAACTGTTTCTGGTTCAGTGACTGGGACTGCCCTACCTAGGTATTTCCCAGGACTGGGACTGGGGAAACATCTATCTATCCATACTAATAACTAATAACTGTTATACTGCCAGGAGTCACAAAGGGGTGGTTTTTGGTCCATCCAGTGAGTGGATGTTCTGGGCACCCCTATCCTCCAAGTTCGGCACCCCTTGGTTGTGACTGCTGGTAGTAGCTTCTTGCTCCGTTCGTCCTCCATGTCGTCGTCGCTCGCGCGCCTTGCAGAGCGTCACGATGGCGCCCTCGACGTCGCCGACGAAGCGGGACATAGCCGCCTCGCTCGCGAGCTCGCGCTGCGGTAGCGGCGAGGAGGGCAGTCGACCCTCCAGTTTTTTTGGAAACCACCAAACTTCCACAGGCTGTGTTTTGGAGAAAACTCTCCAAACTTGCAGTTGTTTTTTTTGCTGTCACAGTTCTCCCTCCAGTTCCGTTTTCCACCGCCTCCAGGACTGCCCTCCACCTGCTTCCTCCGTCCTCCGTCCACACCTCCGTCCAGCCTCGTCCGTGTGCACGAGGAGCGCGAATTGCAATCGCAAATCCGGCGACTGCGCGGGGCGCGAGGGCCGCGTGTCGCTCGCGCGATCTCGGCCGACCACGCGAGCGGGTTTGGGCGGTGGTTTTGGGCCGTGGGCGGGCGGCTCAAATCGACCAGTTGGTGTTAGGTTATAAGATGTTATAAGCATTCCATTAAGGTACTGTAGGTATCCAATGGTGTCCCATTCGCCAAAAATTGGTTCACCTCACCTAATTTCGTGTGTATTTCTAGACACTACCCAAGTCGGGTAAGAAGGTTCAGGTCAGTAACCCTTGCAGGTTTGCTTTTGATTATTGACTACCGCCTTTACTTTTCATCAGAGCTTCTGCGTTTGCTGCCACGGGAACTGCGTCTATGAATGGCACACCACTAGCAAGATGGCAGCCACCAAATTAACCGTTTTTCAACGTCATGTCGGCAGAAAGTGTGCGCAAAGCATCCCGTACTGACACACTTTCTGCCGTGTTAAACAAGGAACCGAGCTCGCAGTAGGATCCGAGCTCGCTCGCTCGCTCGCTACCCCTCACGACCCTCACCCCCAGTAGACACGACCGACCACGCGAGCCTTGGCTCCCTGCAGGAACTCCGCGGCCGCACTCAGCGCCGCCGCCGGAGATGCTCCGCCGGAGATGCTCCGCGGACGCCGCTCGAGCGCCTGGGGAGAAGGGGAAGACCCACGAAAGAGTGCGAGTACATCGGTGGGTCCTGTTGAAGCAACAAACAAAACGAGACAACTGGAGTTCGGTTGGTTTCTACTTGTTAGAGTATCATGTTGTTTCTTCTTCTTCTTTTTCTTCTTCTTCTTCTCCTTCTTCTCCTTCTTACTTCTCATCCACTCAAATCCCACCTTTGCCAACACTGCGCTCTGCAGAATTTCCTCCCAACCAGGTCTGTTTTGCGGGGACGTCATAGTCATACCCCCACGGCGGTAGAAACCAGATACGTCCTGCCGTCCTGGACACACCGGTGAAGCTCCGCTGCGACCCGACCCGACACACCGCTGCTCCGGCTCCCCGACCTCGTAGATGATGGAGCAAGAGCCGCCCAGAGGGCGGAAGAGCGGAGAAGCCTCCGGAGAACCGCGAACCGGTGCCCGCAGGTTCCGGCGAACGGGTTCGAGGTCGATCCGCGTGGTCGACGCTCGATCCGCGTGGTCGACGGTCGAAACGCTTTATGACGAAGCCACTGCTGAACGCAAGAAGGTCCCGTGTGGAGGGGTAGGCTTTGACGGAACGGAGGGACAATCCTCCAGGAGCCTGCTACTGTAATTCTATGTAAATGTATCAAGATGTATCAAGTAATACTTCTATAGCCAAGCTGGGCTGTTCCCTTTGGTACAAGTGAAATCAACGCATCGGATGTCCACCTTCACAATCTTCCTTTGAATGAAGAACTCTGCCTGACAGTTCAATATCCTTCAAAATGAAAGTGCGTCATTTAAAAACATGACGACAACAACAACAACACACTCCCAACTGAACCCTTTCCGACCTCTACAGGGTTCCTTCATCCTGTTTTGGAATCTAAAGCATATCCTTCCCTGGAGAATATAAATTAAAGGGTTAACCCTTTCCACCTAGTTGTACTTGAGTTGAAAAACTATACTATACCAAAAAAATGGTTACAAATGTTACCTATGGTTACCCACCTGTTTCCTGCCGTAGAAGTCCAAAGACTATATGTTCACCGACTGGGGTAAAGGCACCTTTCGCGTCACCGAGATCAGACCGCACGTGCGGCGCGTTCGAGTTCGACCACGGCACGATGCGCCTGACTGCCACACGAAAAATTGAGCAATGTGGTGCATGCCATCATAGCTTCATCCTTGAGAGAAAGCAAAAGGTTCTTTGCCGCAGAGATTGGGGGGGTGATGTTCGAAGGTCTCAAGTTGGTGATTTGTTGTGATTACTTTTGTCCAACTCATTCCAGGGGGAGGGGCCGAGGTTCGAGGTGCATGGAGTGGGGGGGAGGCGAAGAAGTAGCTCCACTTGCTGAGCGCAGTCAGCGCAGTCACCGTTGAAGTCTGACCACCGAAGTGAAGGATCTCATGATGACTGGCACCCAACGTACAAACCCGGATCTTGCAACAACCAAGAGCCCAAGAGAGGCTAAGTGACCTGAACTAGGACCTTACTGGGGTACCGAACTGGGATAAGCTATAGCGGCTATAGGGTCCTTCAACCTCTGTTGGAATGCAGAAGGTCTGCCTGTTCATCTCTTTTCAACCAGCCAAGCAAGGCAGAAATGTGTGCATTGTTGGAAGATCGGAACATGCTGTTGCTATTCCCAGACGCTCCATGTATGCCATGTATGCCTGCATTGACCCCTCAAACCACCCCAATGTAGGCACCATACATGGAGCGTCTGGGATTGGTTTAAAGTCAAAAGCCTTCTCCTTTCCGCTCCTCTCCTTTCCGCTCGCCGCGCGCACGGCGGACCTAAACATTGGTTTCCGGATTGAACTCCCCTGTCCCAGCTTCTTTGGTAAAGGATCTCAAGCTGGCGCCATGTTGGAAGGACGCTTTATTTCGGGTTGGGGCTGGGGAAACCCAGGAGCATGGTGAGTATGTGTCCTTTTTGGGCAGCTAAGCCATCCTTTTCGATTGTCAGTGGCAAACATGGTGACCGCAAAACTCCTCACAACATCTTACAACTAGACATAAGGTTCAATTAGCGATGGCCTCCAACCTAATAGCGTTGGCCTCCAACCTAATAGCGATGGCCTCCGACCTCATAGCGACGGCCTCCAACTCCTTACAACTAAACTCAAGGTTCTAGAATGTTCTTATCAAAGGGCGAGGTATACAACTCAACAGCCTTTTGGGCACGGCATCGTCTCTTCGGATGTCGGACGCTGACCGAGGAACCAAATTCCTTCTCCCTCTCAGCGTGTGGTGTCTATTGTCTGCAGGTACTCTCCCTGGAACTAACATGGAAGTGGAAAACCACCTGTTTGTAGTGGAAAATGGTCTTCCAAAGGGGCATTCTCCACTTCCATGTTAGTTCCAGGGAGTGTAGTTGGTGGATGTTGGTAGGATGCTCAAACCAAAAGCCGGCCTTCACAGTTTCTTGTTGTTTTAACCATCCGACCTCGCAGGGAAAACCCACAAACCGTCATCGCGCGTGAAAGGGATGGAGAAATACTTCCAAAATGAGCATCACATGGGGGTCTGGATGGGGAAAAGTCTCTTATGGAAGACGATTCTGTCCTTACTGGGAGCAAAGGCATCGCTACTAGTAGCTTCCGGACGCTACTCATTAGCTTCCTCTCGAAAGCAGCCGGGGTTCAAACCTCCACTTCCATGTGATCGGTGTACCCTCGTGCACTCGCAACGAGGGGAGCCCTTTCCAGCCCTTTCCGACTCGTCACCCCTTCCGCACCGAGCGGCCCGCGTCTCCCGCGGTTCTCGCCTCTCTCGACCTGCTGAATGGGTTTGATAGAAGCATCCGCAAAAAGAAAACCATGAAAATTAGCCCAGCTGGAGACCCCAATAGCATAGCTAAGCTAATCCCCATAGCATGACTATTGGGGAAAAAACATATAAGTCCAAAATCCAAAACCTGGTATTACAACACCAGTGGCGTGGTCGTTCGCCCTTGCTAGGAGTTCTGTTAAAAAGGAAGGCAACCATAGGTTGTCACTCTGCTAGTCGCACCAAACGGCTTCTGGGAATGACCCTTTCCAAGTGGACGGCCAGGACCAAATGGACGACCCCAACCAACGGAAGCTCTCGCCGCAAGCTCGATCGCAGGCCGACCGATTGAGGTTGGATCGAGGCTGGCTCAGGCGTTTATTCGGTCATTAGATGACCATGCAGCCAATCACATTAAAATACAAAGGTCTTGGACTCCGAGGGTGTCTATAACCTGGATCAAACACCAATGATTAAAACATCGGAAGGATCCTTAAACAACAACTATATATCTGAATCACATAACACATTGTAACTATCTCAAGACCATTCGAGAACCATCAGTCACTCCTACCATGTTCCCAGTTCCTCGTCGTCGAAGTTGAGAATCTGCACTGCAGATCTGAACGAAACAAAGACTTTCCTCTAAAGTTTCACTGAGTTTTCATCGACTGCATGGCACGGTCACGCCGAATTTCCGTGATCATTTTCAGGGGTCCCAATACCAACGGACTTTGACACTTCGACCGGTCTTTTGGATGTTGAACGATCTGGTAAACCAATCAAGTGCTCGCGTCCGCAGCTTGACCCAGTGCTGGATTCCAAACATCTTCTTTTGCGTTCTCAACAGAAAAGCAGTTCCCGTTGCCACTGAGCTCTTTGAATGGCAATGGAGTGCCCCCAGATCACAATGTTCGCCCACATCGTCCTCGGCTACCCGGACGATCTTCACACGGTGTCTTTTGCGGGATGGTCCGGTAACTGTTCGCCACTACATGCACCATCAAACCTTTGTGCCTGCCACGAAGTACTGCGCCTGCCACGAAACCTACACCTCAAGGTCCACAAAGCGCTGCGCCTGCCACGAAATCTGCACCTCAAGGAGTAAACAACACATATCCTGGACTACGCTTTAGTGGAAAATGGAAAGCGCGGCCTCGACCTTTCTTTGGTCCCGGTTCACTGGCCCACCTTTGTTGCCGAGAGCGATTGAGAAGAATCCCATCCTTCGCGACACAAAATCCAACTGGCAACGCTTTCGCAAGCTCCGCTTTCAAGTACTCCAGCTGTGACTGCCGACGAACAAACGCTTGCGGCGCACGTCGGGCCCCGAGTTTGTTCGAATCGACGAAACCACGCGCGTGTGTTCCAGAGGGGCAGAGGGCGTGTGACAGGAGCTGTGCTCTGAGGGTGGATGTGGGCTACTCATTCCAACAGGGATGGTATTGGAGAGTGTTGAACCTGGGATGGTCAAATTCGCCAACGAGCTGCAACCCTAAAAGGCGCCATTTGCCACTGCCACGGAATCTGCACTTCAAGGTCACAAAGTACTGCGCCTGCCACAAAGTCTGCATCAAGGTGCACAAAAATACTGTGTCTGCACCAATATGTACACTTCAAGGTCAAAGCGCTGTGTCTGCCACAAAAACTGCACTTCCAGGTCCACAAATTACTGCATCTGCCACAATGTGAAAATGCACTTCAAGGTCCACAAAGAGCTGCGTCTGCCACACTTCCAGGTCCTGCGCTGGCCACGAATCCACATTTGAAGGTTGACCAAGTGATGCGCCTGAACATCAGGAGACACGCTGCCAAGGCGCTTTGCAACAAGAGCATCAAGAGGCTCAGACTCTGACTTCCTCCGATTTCTGACCAGATTTCTGAAGACGATTCACGGCACCTACCATGAAATCTACACACTGACAAAAAACTGCTCCGACCCGTTGCAAAAAATCGACCTCTTATAGACCAAAAAACACGAGGTTTCCCTAGCGCCTGCCACGAAAATTGATGACTAAGTCCGCAAATGCGCACGGCACCTCGACGAGAGTGCAGTCTCGAAGAGACCCCACCAGATTCTGCAAGCCTGCGGAGTCGAAATGCACTTCCAAGATCTCGAGGTGAATGAATATAGATACCAGCGAATTACCCGGGCTCGCCTGCGAGCACCTCAGATTAAACACCCTGCCTTAACTACTGCCTTAAGAACCCCTAGTGTAGACACACCGTTTGCGAGGCTCACTAGACCCTCCATGATTACGCAAGGTTGTGACCCCCCAAAAAGAAGAGTTGTTGATGCTCTTTCAGGTTGGAGGCCATCGCTAGTAGGTCCGATGACGGGTTGAAAAAGAAAGAAAGCCATCGATCTCCGTTTCAATCGCCCCAGCGACCCTCCATCCGCGGTGGACGTTTCCAGCTCATAAGCCAAGTCCTCCGATACGTTGCTCGGATGTGGATGAGCGTTGGCCGGCGACATGTTCACCGCCATGGACAGCGTCTCCCGGAAGTGCGGATCCAGCTTCTTTTTGAGCAAGACCTCGATCAGTGGAAACGTCCAGGATCCCAAACGGACGTCTGCGATCATTCCAGGGTTGGAGGAGAAGTGTTTTCCAGAAAACCCACTGACTGAGACAACAAACATGAGTGGTTCATACATGGTCAGTCGGGGGTGTCACGTTGAACTCCGCGGCGCTGGTATATGGTTATATCACTTTTCCATCTTTTTCCTAGCTTGAACGCGTGGGACAGAAACACGATGGTGAGCAAGACACGAAGGCGGTGACCCCATTTGACACCCAAAAGCCCTCGATGGGATGCAGCGTGAGCTGCATTTTTGTCGAGGCAGAAAATGGACCCGGCCGTTGGGCCTGAAGCGTCTCAGGTGTCCCTTGGGGGGGAGAAGCACCCGGAGCATATCCAGGTCCCAAACTTCGGCACCGAAAAATCCGATTCTGGCACTGCGGAGCTCCAAGAGCGAAGAGTTTTCTCCAGTTGGAGAGATCAAAGCAACTGGAGATGGGAAGCGATGAAGCGAGTCAATTGGAGGAGGAGGAGGAAGGCCACTCAAATGCAGTGCTTTTGCTTCGAAGCCAAAAAGAATCAGGCTGAGCATAAAGAAAAGACCCAAGAGGTATACTTGAGAAACGCGCGAGAACAAGCGGTGCAATATAGTTGATATGACCGCAACAGGTTTAACTGTCGGAACATCAAATGTCCTACTTGGTTTCAAAGCTTCGCCGCAGCTTCGCCGCTCTTTCCGGTCTGTCTTGACCACGGCCTCATGGGAACCATCCACCACGGCCTGCCGTCACCGTTTCACTCCAATGCCTTCGGAGTTCCTCTTTTTTCGTGGACGAGACACCAAGCCAGCTTGTAGGGAGTGAGCTTGGAGATGCCACGTGCATGCGTGTCCCAGGTTCCTGAGATGCACAAGAAAACAGCAGCATAAGCTTCAAAAGAAAGCCGGCAAAGAAGTTAAGCAGGGGCACCTCTGTTTCAATATCCCCATTGAAGAGGAAGATGTCTATGAAACAACAAATAGAATTCAAGCGAATCAGGACTGATACGATCCGTTTCTCTATTTGGGCGTATCTTTTGGGGACTAGTTGGGACTGAATCTTACACATAAAATGTGCCAAAACTTATATGTTTTATTCAATAAATCTCTCAAGTTGACATCTGAAATAGCATGTTCAATACACCTCTTAAGTGGCTATGCCTTAAAAAGGCCAGAACCCACAAGGGCTTCATGTATCTTCATTCACTTCAACTCGTCTGTTTTTGAACCCTCAAGATGTTCCAAACAGTCGCAGCTTCGTTTTGGCATGTTCCACCGTTTCCGCCAACAATGCCTGCGGATCCATTCGATGGCTGTGTTTTCCCCCAGAATTGCCGGCCATCTTCAGATGCGTGGGTGAGATCGGCCAATCGATGAAGGGACGTTCACAGCGTCCCAAGCGTAGCTCCGTGGCGTTCCAACCCATATGGTTCTGCTGTCCACCGACGCAAAGGAAGTTCCAATAGCTGAGGTGGTGATACAACGGGCTTCGCATGGTGGTGAAATACAAGCACGGCCGCGGCAAGAACGAACAGACTCCCGTCCAGAAGCGGTCGGCCACGATGAGACGGACCTTCATCTTCTCTTCCATGGAGGCTGTAAACAAAAAATCTCGCTTGATGCGCTCCTTCTTCAACAACACTCGCCGTGTTAGTAAAGTGGATGTGTTTCGTTGAAACAAGATGCAGGACTTGGGGCGTCGGCACAAAGTGGTTTGGAAGGCACTTTTGATGCTGGTGCCCCCCGCTTTGTGGTTGTGATGAAACACGATGGCAGGCTCCAAAGCTTCCTTAGACGCCCGTGCGGACGCTTCCTGGGCGGCTTGCTTCACGCAGCGCTCCGACGGCAAGGGTCCTAAGGTGTGATCCTTCAGATTGCATCTCGGCAAAGGTGACGCTGTCCCATCCTTCACTCCTGGCGAGTGGGGACCCAGTGGAGGCATCAAGGCCACAAGAAGATCTGGGTTCCAACAGACCAGTGATTGAGTGAATACTGTCAACCTCAGAACCGCGAGAAAAACACGTTCACTCGGGTCGAACGGATGTGCTGTGCCGCGACCAAAACAGAGGCCGAGGCCTTCTCTCTCTGTCCGATCGACAGAGGGATCGGCCCGGAAGCCCCAAGAAGGCCACATGCCCAGCATCTCAAAACAGTGGAAAAACCATGGCGAAGTTCGACCCTCCCTCCAATTCATGTAGACGCTTGGTTTTTGAAGAAATCCCCCATCTGGAAGAGCCAACTTGCCATTCAAAATGGGGTGGTTAAATGTGTTCAATCAATGAGTGTTACATGAATCCTGGACCTGCTGGACCTTCTGGCCCCTCTTCCAAGCGATGGCGAGAATACCCAACACCCAACCACAGATGGTCTTCTCACCCGCGCCCGTTCGTCCCACTCCTGGCGAGGCTTCACCCCTCTCGGGCAACGCGGCACCCGCGAGGACGGCTTCAT